CTATATTTTGAGGTACAAGTTTTCCTTTTCTTTAAAATTAAGGAGATACTTGCTTTTTAACTTGTTTTTCCTCTCTTTTTACCACTGTACCAATGTAATTCTAACACTTTTCAGACAGTGGATTCAATAGTACTCTCTGCGATTCTTCTGTTATATAGAGTGACAATGGACTTGTGGCTGGAAATTTAGGAAAAAAGTTCTTTTTTACACTTGATTTTACTTCTCTGTTTTGCCAAATAAGTCACCAAGTGTAGAGTAGTGTTTGTCATCTGGGCTCTGCATCCTTGTTCACACAACAATAACTCCATGGTTTTTAGACTCTTCCAGAAACAATGCTAGCAAAGTGACCCATCAAGTGAAAGTCTGTCTTTCTCTGGGCCAAGTGTGCACGTGCAAGGTGTTAACATTGATAAAGAAGGGATCATGCTAGCTTACCTTTATTCAGACTACTTCCAAAAGACCGTAATTATATTAGCTTTAACATCTGTGAGAAATCAATACTCTCAGCTTCATATAAAGTGCAGTCATTTTTTGATAGAATACTGCAGTCGGTCTGGGAAAGCTTTAGCCCTATACCATCTAACTTCCAGGAAGTTCACACAGCAGAGCTGTTGGACTTCTTTGTAATTGTGTAATTATTGTAATTGTCTTAATAGATTTCTTATTAAAACCCAAATATGCCTGCATAAAATAAGACCACTTCTTGCCCTTTTGCTAATCTCCTCCTCCCTCCTGAAGTTTGGGGATTTCTGTAAATCCATGGTACTTCCAGCATTTTCTTTGCATCCTCCTTTAGTCTCTGGAAAGCTGTTATTTTTCATACGCAGGTTGTGGGTTGGTAGGGATGCTGCGGTGCAGTCAGCTTCTCCTGGCAATCTGTCTGCTGTGTTATAGTACAGAACTAAACACACAATGCCTATATGTTTTTATTAGAGTGATGGGCCACTGAACCTAAGGAAAACATGATCTCTGCACATAGGCCAGTATGTAAGAAGAAAGTTTCTCATTCTTGTGGGCTGATGCTTATGGATACAGCAGAATGAATCTTTTTCATTTTCCCCCAAATAAACGCTGTGCAGCCTGTTACTGAATCGTTTACATCATCAGGTATGACGATGGTCAGCAACCCTAGCAAGCTTACATGTGCAAATCTGGCCAGCAGCAGGGGGTTGATGGTATGACTATGGAATAAAGCTAATTTTTTCAAAAGATCATTAAAATAAATCGTCCTTTGAAAGAATTTCCTGGGATTTGTAACATATGTCTCCCTGGGCTCTGCGAGAAGCCGCTTTTCTCCACAGATGATGATTTCCAATGCCTTTCCGAGTACTGAAGTTATTTGTTTCTAGGAATATCACGGGCTGCCTCTCTTCTGAGGGCAGTGCTGCTCCCTGAGAAGACTGCCTGGTTGGTTTTAACACATAGGAAAACTCCAAATGCTACTACCAGCCCATCAGCTCTTAAGAGGCCCAGATGGGTCTGGAGATTTTCTTTTAGCTTTGCTCCTTGAGCAGATTTGTCCTCCCGTAGGTTACATTAACTTCTTTACAGTGCAGTGCCCCAGACCGATCTCTTCACCCACACATTTGCTTAGAAGATTGCAAAAGGAAAGGATGGAACAGCTGGGGGGGGGAAGCAGTTTCAGGGGCAAAATCTCAGTGTATTTTCCCCGTGCCGTGTCGAATTAAAATAAAAACCTCCCCTCCCTCCTCCTCCTCCTCCAGGAACAGTCCTCTGGTTTCATTTTGGGGGCTTTGCCCGGCTTTTCCCCGCCGAGCCCCGCAGGCGGTGGTGACCGGAGCCGCTCGGCGGAGCCGCGGGTATGACTAATCAAAACTGCTACGGCCTCTTAGCGGGGAGCGGTAACAAGGCTCCTTTGTGAGGCTAATTATATCCCCTAAGCTGGCAGAGCGGCGCGGATTAGCGCAGGAGGAGGACAGTCGGCCGCGGAGGGCTGCGAGGTGCCCTGCCCTGCCCTGTCCCGTCCCGCCGGCATCGCCCGCTTTTGGGGCGTGAGGGAGCCCAGGCGGTGCCGCCCGCAGACGGGGCCCCAGCGCTGCTCTCTCGGCCCGGTCCCGGTCCCTGACGGGGAGGTTTGTCCGCCGGCCGGGAGCCGTGCCTGGTCCCTGAGGAAGGGGTCTGGGGAGGAGGCGCTGCCCGGCGCGGTGCCTGGGTAGGTACCCGGGGCTGCACCGGCGGGGGGACCTGGCCGGGAGGCCGGGCACCGGGATCCGGGCGGCTTCAGCAGCTCCTCACCCTGCAGCCCCTCGCTGGGAAAAGCAACTGCTCGGGGTGACTTTCTCTTGGCATGTTATTAACGTGGGGGAGTGGGACACGCGCAAGGTTGTCTCGTATGGGTCTGATTAAAATTTTATAATGGGATTGTTGAAGCGGAGTCGGCAGGTGTGGAAGAGGGGAGGTGACTTTGAGAAGCGTGTTTTGTGGTTTGCTTGCCGATTTGCCTCCCGTTTCTCACACAGCCCTGGCTTCGGCGTGCTTGGTGTTGGTGAGCAAACTCACTGGCCGCCCAGCGAGGCTCTGCGCTGGGGTGGTTTGCAGTCGTTGCTTTCCGAGAGGTCTGCAGCTAGTTTTCTTGGGCTGGTCTCTTCATCCCAGGGTGTATCGTCAGGACAAATGGAGTAGCCAAGTCAGCCTGTTAGTGAAACTTAAAGTGTCAAGGCCTGAGAGTTTTTTTCAGTCTTGAGCTTTTATTGGTGTGAAAAGAAAATTCAACGGAAAAAGTTTCCCAGGCTGTGGGAGCAGTTTGCTGACACGCACAGACGTTACACAAGGATGCAAGGCGATTTTTACGGAACAGTGCAAGAGGAAACGAGTATGCTGATAAACATGTGGGACCAAAAATTGTTTGTTCCTCCCTGTAAATCTAAAGAAGGGATTGTGGGATTTCTCCTTCAGAAGGAGAGGAATATGAAGTAGTGAGCAAAACTGAAAAAAAAAAAAAATCTTTGAAATACACTTGTCTTATGCAGTTTTGCAAAGGGAGGGAGGGTGTTAAATGATAAACTTGGCAGAGTAGGATTTTTTTCCTCACTGCCAGGCAGTCACTGCTTCCTGCTTTTCAAGAACATATGCTGTGAAGGTGGGATGCAGCGTGGGCTCAGGATGTGTTTCTGTCTCTGTCTGCTTAGTGGTGACCAGACAGAGCAGCTCGCTCCATTAGAGAAAACCTTAATCTAGTGGGTGAGGCTAATGGAGCTTCCCCCTAGCGTGAGCTGCTCAGAAAGGAACTGCCCACTGTATTTGTAGGGCAGCATCCCAGAAGAGTTATGATCAACTTCTGCAGGTTACTGTTGGTTTATGATAAAGCATAATAATACATAGCAGAGCGTTGTCAAGTAAAACACATCACGCGTTTCTGCTGACGTCACTGCACTTTGAGTAAAGCTTTAAAATATTAGACTTTCATTAATCAGTTGGAGCTCATACGTAGTATTCAGTGTGTCTCTTTCAGTGATCTTTTTTTATGTATGAAAGACATCTTTTCTGTTCTTTGAGGCTGTGTAAACTTCCCTGAGGGAGCTCTATACCACTCTAACACCAGTGTTACAAGCCAGCTTTGTTTTCCGTCTGAAGAAGACTGAATCTAGCACATACAATGCAAACAGCTCAGTAGTCACTGTTAGAGCCACATTCACTGCTTCGGGTTTAAAAACAGTGACGTAGGCACAACTTTCATGTGAATACAATGTTGCTGTTTGTTGTGGGATTGTCCGTAGATACCTTGCATCAGGAGCCATACCTTGGTTTATGTGTTAAGCTTGCACAGATGAATGCAGTTATTAAACTACTCCGTTGCTTCAGAAGGATGCTGATAGCCCCTGCAGCTTTTAACACACAAGCTTTAGCAGCAGGATTAACTATGAATATTACTTAGGGCTTTTTTCCCTGTATTTCGTCATCCATTGTGACTGATCTGGCCTTGGAAAATCATTGAGGTAGTATCTCATTTTATTTCTTTGCATACAAGCACATGTTTCAACTTGTGGTTTTTTAGTTTTATTTTTGCCAGATTGACTCTCTTGTAAAACTTATTCTTGGTGATAATTAGGGTGACTAAAGATTGAGATCTGAAGGGTTGTGAGGTGGGCTGGAAGAGGAATAATCTGTTTGAAGATTTGTGTTGTTATTGCTGTGAAGTGATTCTGTTTTCAATCTTGCTCGGAAAATAGCTTTTATTTTGCTGTAAAGTGACTGAACCCAGCTTTCAAGGCTAATGATGTTAAATTGGGTGCATATCTTGGCACATTCAGTTTCTGCAAACTAAGAAAGCCTGCAAGAACATTGTCCACTAAATAAAATCAGCTCTACTCTGGGACTTCCAGAAATCAGAGTTGTCTGGTCACTTTTAAACTTGCAGCTCTAAGTGGTTTTAGGTGTTCTAAGGCTGCCTTACATGTGCTCAAAATAAGGCCTGTACGTGTTCCCAGGGTATCCAAATCAAGGGAAACAGCATTGTTACAGTTAATAGGTTAAGTAGGGTTTCATTTTTTTGCTCAGCATAAATTTACTGAAGACTTGGGTGTGTTTAAACAGTGACTGGTCTGGAGTGGGTTCTTCAGCTGGACCAGCAGCCGGACAGGGAGCTCTGGGAGTGGCTGGCTCAGGGCCTGAGCCACAGGGGTGGTGCGGGGGATGCCACTGCTGTTTGTCCAGGGCAGGCGGTGAGGTGGCTGTCATGGGTGAATCTTTGGCAGAGAGGTATCGCTGGTTTGGTATCCTTGAAATCACTGCATTTCCTTTTTGTGAACTGTCAGTCGTAGCTCGTGTCTGCATTTCTGGAAGGGTCTCGCATTACTGAGAGCAGTGAAGACATTAACCCTTCTGCTTTCAGGATTCAGACATACCCCTCTGTGTGTCTGTGTGCGTGATGGAGGGACGAAGGTTTGGGCAGGGGTGGAGACAGGGACAAATCTGTGTATCCTCCAGGTACAGTACTGCGTGCAGAGAGCAAAGGGACCCATCTTCCCCAGGCACAGCTGCTAGCCCCTTTGCAGTAGTAAGAAGAGTATTACTGTCTCTGGGTGACCCAGATACTCATCCATAAGAGAGGCGGTGAAGGGTGAGGAAGGTCGTTCTTATCCATTTTTGCATCTGTGGCCATCAGCTGGATCTTAGTGTTGCTTAACCGCTGTGTCCTTATCAGCACTGTCTTGCAGCAGGGAGGATTGAAGTTGGGATCCAGCTCTGTTTCTGACGGGATAATGGGTCAGGAGATGAAGCAGGATGTAGAGTCAGCCTCAGCAGGGGAGACAGCTTCTTCCATGTGGCTCATGCGGCCCTCATCTCCCCTCTAGGGACTTTCTCAGGATAAGGTGCGGATCTGCAGCTCCTTAGGCTGGTAGGAGCTCTCTTTGACAGTGGTGACAGCAGTGACAGCATTATACCTGCCCGTGCAGATCCCCTCTACTGCAATGAAGAATCTCTACGCAAAGTGCTGGAGAGATTGGGTCTGAATTAATACAGGCATAGGAGGAGAGGAGCTCACGCTCCCAAGAAGTTGCAGGGAAACATCCACCCTTTGCCAACAGAGAAATTGCAGATAGATGTGCGTTTCAAATTGTACTGCTTCTTGTTACAATGCTGCTACAGCTGCAGTCATCAGTTGGAGATTAAGAAGGGGATATAACTTGGAATTGAACAATTAGCTTCTCCACCTGAAACTTGAGCTGCCCCTGGGAGGTAAGGAGAGACAGGTTACCTCAGAAGATGATTGTGCAACTATAACTACCTTACGCCTTGGGCTTCCAACACGTCAAGGCAGCTGAGATTCCATGCCCAAATTATGAGCTTTGTAATGTGCCAGAATTCTAATGTCTGTTTTAATCTGAAAATAGTTATTATAATAAAAATCCTTTTTAAAAACAGTGCCATATATCACAGAGCGATTTACGGTTTATAGCTATCTCCACATGTCACTTTCAGTGGAAGCAATACAAATTTTTACAAACACTTCTGTGTGTAGTCCAGAAGGGGCTCCTCCAGAAGAGGAAGTTTTCTTCTCCCCACCCTGCCTTTAACCTTTTTTTACTGAGCAGTTTCTCCTTTCAAATCTCACTTGTCCTTCTGAGACCAAGATGTCTTGAGAGAAAGTTTCTGCATAAAAAGCTTATTCAGTTCTTTATTAATGTGGAAAATATTGTACATTTTTCTATGGTATTGCACTCATCTTTTGTCTCAGTTACAGCTAAACTGGAACAAATGGGTCCTGGATGCTGTGTGATGTGACCAGTATTTATTTGGAAGATTATTTGATAATCCCAGGTGTTGTGAGAATAGTCTGAGAAGCCATATTTGAATACTTAGCAAGTGCAAGCTCTCAAATAGATGAGCAAAAAGACTTCATGTGGGTCTGTTGAGTTGGTTCTACTTATTCCAGTGGGTTTTTTTCTGGCTATTGTTGGTAGTGGAGACCTGTGGTATTGTTCTAAACATTTATTTCATTAAATACAATTCCTGCGGGACATCTGCTTTAGCCATTCCCTTGTGTGAACAATTCTACCACATAATATGTCGTCCAGGTTGCCTTATCCTCTGTGTTTGTAAGCCGCCACTACCATCATGATTTCAACAAAGGTTTAGAAAAGGCTTTTGGGTAGGGAAGTCTAAATTGGGCCACAATTTTGTCATTCTGTGTGAATTCCCTTACTGGTCCTGTTGGCTGGTGGTATTTTCAGTATTCCTTCTCTTAGGTCTTGCCGAACCCAAGTCGTTTCTGCTGCTATATCTGGGGGGAAAAACTTGTGATATGGCACTTGAAAAGTTTTCCAAAAGTGGGAAAGCCAGAATTTGACTGTTGTTCTGATGTTGAAATAGTTGGAGGATTGAGTTATAATACTGATGCAGAAATGCAAGAAATGGGAAACTGAGTTGTCCCTGGTACGGCGCTGTTGGTCTTGTAATGTCCGGACGTCCATACCTCCTTTTTAGTGTGGTGGTGATCTGGATATTACAGATTCAGGCTGAACACAAGAGGGTAGTAATCATTCCCTGAAGAAAATAGAAGTTGTTGGTGTCCAGTTTGCACCACTTTTGGATTGGGAATAAGATGATTTGGTATTAGGGGTTGGTAGCGCTGCATCCTCTATGTGTTAACAGAGCTTCTGTGTTTCAGGAGTTGGATAAGTAATTCCCACCTTAAGGAAGAACGGGTACTGGGTTCAATTTTTACACATGGAAATTTATAATTATGTTATTGTGAATCCAGAGGTGTTGCGAGCAAGGTTTTTACAGAGCTCAAGGTACTGCTTTTAAGGTCTACAGGCTGGAGAAAGCTCAATTGCCACTGTAGGGCATGTCAGGAGTAAATTGGGTCTGGGTGGACTGGAGCAGAGGGAGCTGAGAGAATCAGATTTCTTTTTGAGAAGATTATTTTGTTGGTGATCTTGTCTGTGTACCTCTGAAGTGTCGTGTGGATTCAGATGGAACAAAAGCCAGATCCTTGTCTTCCTGTGTTTTCTTCACTCATGTTGAAAGTCGGTCAATACGCACACCTGCACGTGGTGTGGGGTTATATTTTTTCAGGCATACTATGTTGATTATTCTTAGCTCGTAAATAATGTGGGGGTTTTGCATGTAGATACATTGAGATTTTGTAGGTTTTGGAAGGTTCAGCTCTGAAGCTTAATTTGAATTCAGGCCTGCAGATTGTCTCTAAACTGAACAGATTTTGAAGGCAGTTTGCCTAAATGATTAATTAATCCTTACCAGACATTGATAGAGCTCTTAAATCTAGTATAATTAACTAGCCTGATACACTGGATTTAATACATGTTCAGTGTCTTCCTACATGTGTTAACTTGATTATTGACTACAGTACCATCTTCTGTCATTGAAACTTTCCTTCTGACACTACGGTAGATCCACAAAAAAAGCCTGTCTGGCTGCCAGTGTAAAGGCACAGGTGGGAATAGACTGTGTAGGAACCAGCCTGCAAAGGGAGTGCGAGCTTGCCGTGTCTTTGGACAGGGGAAGGTGGGAATAGCCAAGCCCAAACAAGGGTGGGGCGGGGGCTGGAGAGAGGAAAGGAGGCAAAGACGGAGGCGGTGATGGCGCTTCAGGGGGAGTTGCACTGGTGACTCCATCCAGGGAGATGGTTCAGCTGAGCGAAGAGCTGCCAGTGCAGAAGGTGAGGGTACAAAAACTTGTTGCAAGGAGCTTTTATAATTGCTAGGGATTAGAAATTGGGTGGGCTGCTGTTAGACCAGGCTTGTTCACCACTTCATGGTTATTCAGTTGTTAACAGCTTTCCTTAATTGAAACACAATTTTCTTCAACTATAATGTATTTCCAAAACATTTTAACCAGAAAGGATAATAGTTTACTATTTGATAAGTTAGAGGGACTCACAAAGTGGATTAGGAGCCCAGTTTTCATTTAGTTTTTTCTACTCATCAAAATCACTTAAACTTCAAAAAGAGCTGAGTGCGCTAGGGCAGCCATTGATTTGTTTTAGGGTGACAAGGCTGCTATAACTTTTTTCTTTGCCTGAACATTTTATTCTTTGTTTTTAATTTCTATGCGTGGGTTTCAGTGTTGCTTAAGACTACCAACTGTTCTCTCTCTCAGCTGTTTGTCTTCTGCAGTTTGTGTGTCTGTGCGTGTTATGTGCACACTCTCGTATGTCTGGGGGTTTTCTCCTATGGCTGATCCAACTGTCACTGGACAAGGGGATGTAGGCAGCGGGACTCAGCTGTCTGAGGTCAGAGAAGAGTTTTTTCATATCCCGAGCTGATTAGTTTTCATCATTAGCCCATCCCATTCCAGTGAAGTATGTGACAGGGGATTTTCCCAAAAGAATAGATGCTAATACGCAAGGAGAGGGGGTTCTGACAAACAGATGGGGTGCCTGCTGCTGTTAATGGAGAGAAGCAGAGTCTTGAAACAAAAACTGTGGTATGGCTCGAGTGTTGCCAGTAGTAATTTGAATTTGTATGTCATAGAATCCTGGAATGGTTTGGGTTGGAAGGTACCTTAAAGGTCATCTAATGTCAGCCCCCCTGTGTTTGAAAACAGTGCACGGCTGGCAAACTAACAGTAGTGTTGCTGTTGATGAGTTCTGATACTAAGAGCTTCACCTTTAAATTCACTTTCTTAGGCTATCGAGCTGGCGTACTAGTTTTTTAAAACTCACATAAGCAGCATTTGGTCAGTCATGATGTGAAAGCATTTCCATTTAATATTTAGTAGATACTTAATATAACAACGTTCAGCAAAATTTCATCCCGAATAAAGTTCCGTTCAGGCATTTTTTTGTATTCAGGGGATAAGTGCGAAAGAGGGGAGATGGTGTGTGTGTTGTTTCTATAAAGCTCACTATAGGTCTGCAGATGTAAAATGCATTGCCTTAAAATATTTACCAGTAGTTTTTCAGGTTTATTGCTCACCGTGAACAGGCATTTCACACATTTTAATTTTAATCCCTATAAAAAGTGAGGGTGTGATGTCCCCACACAGTTAACATAAAATTTCAAGTCCTGACATTTCTGCCTCAGCTAGAAAGGCCCCTCATTTGTTCGCTTTTGAGAGGCGTTTATGCAGTCACTCAAAGCCTAGATTTACCGTCCCTCTTTGAAAGGACATTTAAGGTTCTCCTGGATAGGCGGTGTGAATACTGGCATACAGTATAATTTAGAAAAAGCATTTAAATTGCTGCTGTCCGTCCTCAGGACAGCGGGAAGTTGGGGCATCCAAGGCTGAATCTGAGTGACAGGCAGTAGCATAGCCTTATAAAAAGGGAACAGAGCAGTGTCAGCTGTGATGCTCTGGAAAGAAGCAGGGAGATGGATTCAGCAGTGGACTGTGGGTCAGGTTTTAGCAGGGCTTCAGTGTATTGGGAAGACAGAAAACCGGTGGCTGAAGTGCGAAACGGTCAAACTGGGAGAAGTTGTGCACGTACTTTGAATTTGGAAAGGCCTAAAAAGTTACTTTGCATATATGTGTGTATATATGTATGTATGTGTACCTATCGTATGTATGTATAGATATATATGTGTGTGTGTATATATATGTATAACTTTTTTAAATCATCCATATTGGTTATGAACGACAGACAGTGAAGGTTTACTTCCAAATACATTGTGGGAGTTTTTTAATTTGGGGGGGGGGGATCCTGTAATATGGAATTATTGTGTGAGCATTTTCAGTGGACTCCTCATATTCTTTCGCACATACATGCCTCCTGCCTTCCCTTCTGTGTTTTCAAAAATGAGGAAGAACTAAAGTGGGACATTGAAATAAACGGTGACATTGAAATAAACGGTGACATTGTTAATT